CAGGTGCTCCTCACAAGATTTCTGACAGAGGAGTGAAAAGAATTATCAGAAGAGTTGTCCAAGAGCCAAGGACCACTTGTGGAGAGCTTCAGAAAGACCTGGAATTAGCAGGTACGATTGTTTCAAAGAAAACAATAAGTAATGCACTGAACCACCATGGCCTGTATGCACACTCACCATGCAAGACTCCACTGCTGAAGAAACAGCATGTTGAAGCTCCTTTAAAGTTTGCTGCACGACTTTTAGACAAGCCTGTGAAATACTGGGAGAATAAAGTCTGGTCAGTTGAGACCAACATTGAACTGTTTGGATGCCAGAATACACATCGTTTGGAGGTCAAATGGCACTGCACATCASCCCAAAAACACCATACCAACAGTGAAGTTTGGAGGTGGGAACATCATGGTGTGGGGCTGTTTTTCAGCATATGGTACTGGCAAACTTCAAATAATTGAAGGAAGGATGAATGGAAAAATGTACAGAGACATTCTTGATAAAAATTTGCTTCCATCTACCAGGATGATGAAGATGAAACGTGGCTGGACATTTCATAGAAGAGGTCCACGAAACCTTCAAGATTTGAAGACTGTTTGTGTGGAAGAATGGGCCAAAATCACACCTGAGCAATGCATGCCACTAGTTTCTCCATACAGGAGGCRTCTTGAAGCTGTCATTGACAACAAAGGCTTTTGTACAAAGCATTAGATAAATTTCAGTAAGTGTGTTCAATACTTTTTCCCTGTGCCATTCCACATTATTACAAATAACTTCATTTCTGGACATTTATGGTTTGATTTCTTTGTGTRTATGGATCTCTTGGGTTGTTACTGACATCAGGTGAAAATTTCATATCATTAGCACCTCTAGTAATATATTTACTAGAAAAATGGTGACGTGTTCAATACTTATTTTACCCGCTGTATGATAAGAACTTGTTTCCCTTGGTTATAGTCGTGCTTTGGTACTCGAGCAGGGCGCGTACGCACCCTCACCACTGTTGGAGGTGTTTATACTTGGTGCTTATGTTGTAGTAGGTTTTTCCAAAAGGACACGTGGAATTACACTTTATAACTTGTGAAATGTTGTAAATAGGATAAATAGGAGAGCAAAAGTGTGACGAACAGACAAGCCGTTTGAACTCTGCGTGGCGCATGCAGCTTGTGCAGCGTTACAAAAATCCGGAAGTGCACAACCACACGCCAGGACACCATGCCCATGCGCCCAGTTTGACGTGTCAACTATAAACCTAGCTTTACCTGGTAGCAATGCTCTAATACTACTATGAACTGACAATAATGTGCCAAGTTGTTTCCCAAACAGCCATGATGCTTTTCCTGGCAGGGGTGCTTTATTTATTACGCCTGCCAAAATACGCGATGATCCTTGTTTGTTTCTGCACAATTTTACACAGTTTTATCTATAAAGATTGCGAAAAGTAAACAGTGGCCAGATATGATGCGTAACTTTTCTGCCAGAACACATTGCAAACTCTGCATTGATCCACTGAAACGGTGAAAACAAAATAACATTAATAGACCCATCTAGTAAAATTAGCAGAAGTGCACGTCTGTTTTTACCCTAAACTTCTGTTCCATTTAAGAGGGCGTTTGTACAAGTATTAATCTCAACAAATCTCCTTATGTTGGCCTTGTTTACATCAGAACATATTTTTAGTGACATAAACATTTTATTGTTTTGGTAACACTTATTGTGCTATAATGATTAGCACTGTTTGGGCCAAGTGTGAAATGTCTTTTTTTCCTGTGTTTTGTGTAGCTGTGCAGGAGCCAATTTAAAGTATKTTTGCATTAAATGTCAATCCCTAGTAAACTGAAATCTAAAATTCAAGCAAGTAAAAATATATGACAAAAAAAGTCCTCCTGATGAAAGCTGCCAGTTTTTCCACTTGTCTCTTCACACCAGACAAGCACAAAACGTGACAACACTAGTCAAACCTGATCAAATGTCCTTGAGCCTCTTTGAAAATAAGTTGTCGTCTCACAACTTGGTTGCTAAATGTTGCAATGTATGTGTGTGTTGCTTGGCTGTCACTCATGGCTGAGTAGGATAGCAACTTTGTGTGTGGGAATTGAATCCAATACGATKATGACATAYACTATATTGCCAAAACTATTTGCTCACCCATCCAAGTGACTGTGCGTCAGTGCACAAAGTAAGGTCCGTAGGATGACTGGCCTGCAGAGTCCTGACCTCAGCCTGATAGAACACCTTTGGGATGAATTAGAGCGGAGWCGGAGAGCCAGGCCTTCTGTCCAACATCAGTATGTGACCTCACAGATGTGCTTCTGGAAGACTGGTCAAAAATCCCCATAAACACACCCCTAAACCTTGTGGACGGCCTTCCAGAAGAGTTGAAGCTGTTCAGCTGCAAAGTTTGGACCAACATCAAATTGAACCCTATGGATTAGGAATGGGATGTCACTTAAGCTCATATGAGTCAAGGCAGGTGAGCAAATACTTTTGGCAATRWAGTTTAAYTTACCTGCCTTTGTAGCATATAAAATCAAACTAATTCAMCACCATATTCAGGGTCTATATGAGTAGATGTATGAAAAAATATCTGTAGAACAAAATGCTGTCATTTTTTCTTCATTGATACTAAAGATGCTGGATCACTCCTGCTTTAATTTCTAAACAGGTTTGTTCTTAGAGCTGTGATGGAAGCCAGTTTGTGTGAAGTTATTCTCAGTAACAGTTGTGTTTTGGAGTTATTAATATGACCCAAGAGATTTGATGATCTTTTAATAGATATATCAAAAAACACTAATCATAATCCCACTTAGGAAATGAGCATTTGGAGTTGTTTTGATTGCTGGGATTTGGTGTCACCTTTAGACCATCTGTTCATCTTTTTGTACACCTTTTTTCAGAATAGTCCTTTTTTTATTTTAAACGGATGTTGTTTTTTTTTTATGTACTAACTGTTTTTTCTTAATTGCTCACAAGACTAGAAGGCGCACTTAATTTTGGAAATAGCACCAAGAAATATTCTTAATTTAATGCGCTTACCACAGAACCGCAACAAATCCAGCTCAAGACTTTTGTTGCATGTCATCCTCCTTTTCCTTTAATTTACTGTCTATAAATTACTGCATACAGTTTAAAAACGCAAAATGCACAGAAGGAGAAAAAAAAAACCCTAGAGATATCTGACTTATTAAGAAGGATCATGTAAATGTTGAAATGATGATTACTTGCAAAAGTATTGATGCCAGTAGGACTGTTGCAGCTTCACAGAGCACTTCTGACACCAGACATTTCCCCTCACCTTCGGTAAACTTCTAAACACTTACTGATGTCACTAAAACATTCAAATGAATCAAATTTTTGGAAAAACTCTTTGTGTCTGAATTTTGTGTCCATATTTGGATGCAAAATTCCAAAACTGCATAAACCAGTAAAACGTTTAGCCACCATTTTTCAGTATCTTACAAAACACAAGAGGGAGTAAAGATGTGTTGTCGTGTTTGTCTTGTGAGTAAAAGATGAAACAGAAAGTTGTCATSTTCTCACAGTAGAGATTATTAAAACAGAAACCAGTTACCCTTTTTTTTTTCTTTCTTGGCTTTTTAATAAACTCACAGAAGAACTCATGCCGAAAGAACTTCTCAAAAGCTTTATGTTATAAAGGTTTCGCAAATAATAGAAGTCCTTTTTCATTTAACTATTATGTTAGAAATTCTAATATTGCACAATATCTACACAAACTGAAAAACTGTTGCTGCCAAACAGGTTCAGACTTGTGTGTGTGTTTTTTTAACAACGCAGAGCCTTTAGAGAAGTTGGTTAAATGAGTGGTTAAAAGTCAGCATGAACCCACGGAAGCTGACATCAGTCTATTTCTCACAAAGAAAACATTGCCTAATCTTTACTTTTTGATTCCCTTCATCACAACACAAATCTTTTTTGGGTAACGGCACCGACACAACGTGACGTAGCCCACTCACCAGTCATTCCACATTCGTAGAGACAAACGTCRTACACATGTTGCTCAGTTCACTATAAATCTGTAGAAGATTTTCACACAGTCGAGCCAAAAAAAAAAAAGTCATAAGAAGCAATTGGTATGTAGTATATTAAATAATTATGCTTAATTTCTTACTTGGGAAATTGATATTGGGTAATATTCTCTTTAATGAGGTCATAAGTCTTGTTTCAAATTAATTAACTTATAATAAAAAGTTTTACCCAACAGTTCTTCACAGGTCAGTTTCCCACCCACTGCCTTTGACTATAAGACAGTATTATATTTCAGTTTTTGTGCATTTAGCAGTCAATAAGAAACAAGAAGCTGTTTGGCCTGTGCCTCTTAAGCACTTTCCACACCACATTTCCATCCCCACTTAAACATTGTGCAGTCAGCTTGCAAATGCCATTAGTTCAGGAACCCTGTCCTCCCACCCAGAAGAGATTTGTGACAATGCACCGCTGGGCTCTCGCTTTAACTTCCTTTAGTTAAAGTCAGAGCAGTTTTCTAATGATAAKAGTAAGTTATAAATTCATATTTTATCTATTTTTTAGGTTATTTCTGTCTAAAATTGGTTTTGAGACCTCCTTCCCTCAGTATTTTCTCATAACTCACAGTTTGTCTGATTAAAGATCGGTGTGTCTGACAAAAACCGACGCAGGACATTTCTCAGATGTCTCAATATCTTCTCAGCATGTCATGGGACTCTGCTCCTCGCTACCTTCCTCCCTCCCTGCATCGCTTTAATTACTTTATCCCATTTCCCTCATCCCTTTCTCCTTCACTCCATCGCCTCGAGCTGCTCCTCATTCCTTTTAATTAATCCACACAGATTTAGACCCCCTCCCTCCTGCTGTGATCGTGTACACATACAACACACACTGATGCACACTTGACAATTCCCTTCAGACAAGAGCAACTTTAGGTAATCTTGTTTTCCTTCAAAGTTCTGGTGGCCGTACTTGGAAAACGGGTTTGTAATTTTTGGCTGTTGTTTTTGCTTTCGATTCAGAGCTCCAATGGAACCATGCAACTGATGGAAACAGATTTCTCCAAAACTCTGGGAGAGATGGTGGCTCTGCATCTGCATCACCAGAAGAGCATCCCAGCCTTCCTCTCTGCTGTGACCCTTGACCTCTTCAGCCGACAAACCACAGTTTGAAGTTCTTTGTCATCTACAACACTGGTGGAAGGATATAACCTAGTTTTAAGTGTTTTTGTTGTTCTTCCTCTTTTTAAAAAGTCAAATATTTTACAGCTCTGACATCTAAATAACGTGCTGTAATCAAGGTTAAACACATTTCTGGATAAAGTACTTAAACATTTTGTTATCTCATCTGTGTCACCTTTGATGTTTTCATCAAAGGATACTTGAGATTTATTTGTACAAAATGTTATTTTTATTATTATTATTTTTTTAATTTTTCATTTTGCAAGTCTGGAATACATTTACCTTCAAACATAGTATTTACTGTGCGAGCAACAAAAATACTTGTGTGGTTCTGTTTTTTTATTTGATTTTTTTTAATCCAAGTTTTTGTTAATTTTTCTTTTATGGGGTCTTATAAACAATACATATATACAGAAGTTGTTTTTATGTTCCTAGCTACATTTATCAGAAATTCCAATACGAACGGATGTAAAAATTGCCATCCTCTCTGCCACCACATTTAAAATTCATGCYGCTGTTTGAATGTGAAAGGGAGAAGGAAAAAAAAAACAATATTTAATCTGTCCCAAACCTGCCAAATTTAAGGTTTGCAGTATTTAATCAGAGTCATTTGCTTCAACAGGAAATGTTTGTTTGGTTGTGTTTTCACCAAAGCTGCTCTCAGTAAGCAGCTTTTTTTTTTWAATTTTGCTTGTACTTTCTCAAAATGGTAAGAAGAAAATTGTAAACATAATTAAAGTCAAATTATTTGAAAACCTGTTAAGTTGTTATGGAAAAAGCGAGTAAGACTTTTTGTTTTTTAAATGCAACGGCTTTGCTCAGAGTTAATCACAGTAAAGAAGTGAATAACTGTGCTGAACCATGGCATCATTTGTAATATGTTTTTTTTTAAAGTTAGCCTCGTCTCATCTTAATTCAAATTCAAAAATACTTTATTGATCCCAGAGGGAAATTAGGTAAGATTATTAAGATTCTAGATTTGATATCCCCTTTTCAAACACAACCAGTGTGCTGTTTAGATTTTCCCCTAGAGCCTGTGTAGGTTTTTACTGGAGTCGTTTTAGATCCTGTCCACTTTTCACCAGATATTTTTAGAAACTGAGATTTGCACCTGACTACATGTAAACAAACAGCTTTTAAGTGAGAAAAACGTTTTAAAATAAACTTGAATCCAAAGTGTTCATTACCTCCACATTTGATGTTTTTTATTGAGTCAACATTTTTAACATTTAAGAAACAATGACATCACATTTTTCCTCATGTCTGCTTTTAGTTTACATCCTAGAAACCAAAACAACAATAATGCTGCTTTTTTTCTGTCTTCATCAGTCTCACTTTTTTCTGATCCTGACACCATTAGTGGTGGTGGTATTATGCAAAATGGACTTTTGAGCTTTATATCATATTATAATGTCATTCTCTCATAAAAAAAAAAAACAGGCTTTGACTCATTCATGCATGTTTGGAAAATCCTTCAGTCTGCTTTGGTAGCCAGTTGGAGCTGCCTAAATGCTTGCTGGTACAAAGCACCTCCTTTTTGTACAAAGCTCCTCCCCGGAGCTCAGTCTGCAGCCGAGCTCCCGCCCCACAGAGCACCCTTACCCTGAAGCATTGTTGGAAAACATGCTGAAGTGGGAGTGTCAGAAAAGGTAGGAGCTTCTTATAGAGATAAAGACCAATTTCATGACGTTTAGATAACAGAAAGTCTAATTAAATTTTGATATTCACAGCATTTAATAACTGGACTTTACTGTAATGACTTGAACTTACATAGTGCTTTATCAAGTCCCTATAGACTCAAGTGTTTTCCACCAATCATTTACCCATTCACACAATGGTATAGAATTAAACTACATGCCTGGAAAATACATAACACTCCCCTTTAAATTTAAACTTTGCACTGCAATGTTTATTTCTGATAGGATAATATAAACCATGTCAATAAAAATGGTTACAACTGATTTGGGCGACCCTTTAGTCAAACTAAAAACGTATGATATGTTGGTACGTCAGACGTCCCCACATAGTGGTGACAAAAGTCTCTGCATTTTTGTCAGAATAGTTTGGATTATGTTTTAAATCTAATTCAGAAAAATGTATCTTTAGCGCACACAGGGTCTAAAACTTCATGTTGGTGAGTTGGTAAGTTCAATTGTGTGCCKGCTCAGACACTAACAGATGAATGGTTCGAAGTGGGTCTAATTTTAAATTTATTTTACTTTGTATGAGCTGAAAATAAGCTGCATGATCCTGTACAGGATAAACCGTAAACTGAAAATACCTTTCTTTTATTAAAAAAAAGTGATGATATACAGCTGATTTAGATGAGCTATAAATAACCTCTGTTGCCTTTAGATGATGCCTCAGTCTTAGAGTTTAAACTCAAACAACTAGATCTTTAGGTAGCAACGAATCTGAATGGCAGGAAATAAACAATTCAGCAGAAAGGAAAGGAACAGAGCCAAATAAAAGATAAAAAAAAAGGGAGGAAGCCAAGAAAAAGCCACTTATCATTGCAACAATGTTAGAACTCCAGCTGGTGCAGCCATATGTCTCACAAGAAACATTTCCCAGCCCTGTACATACCACTTACTGTCCTTGTTTTTCCCTTTTCTTTTTTCTTTTTTTTATCCACGCACACATTTAATCATTTTCAACACACCATATATTTTCTGCACAGCCCGCAGCTCTCAACTGTAGGTCATATTTTAAAGGATATCACATGCAATGTGTAACAGTGTTTCTTTGGTGATGCTTTTTTCAAGGTTATCAGAGACTTTCATAAAAGTGATCTTTATGTTTTTAAATTAAAATGCAAATGGAAAACAATAAAACTTGGTTTGAAAAAGTATTTTGTGGTAACATTGATCTTTAATGATTCAGCTTTTATATCTTTGTTAGGTTATCTAATTGTGACAATTTTCACCATAGCTTTGCTTTTCAGCCCTGTCTGTTGTGTTGTTGTCAAATAAAGTGCAATGAATCTCAAACTAGAAACAATTGAAAAGTAATGGCATTGGCTTTGTGTCTTTACTGAGCGGGACAGCTGGATTTAATGGGCTAAAGTGTTGTTGCAGTAATAAATGTGTTCATAAACAGCTCATTTTTTAATGAAATATACTCAAAAAGCTAGGGATATTTGGATTTTGGGTAAAATTTCAGGATGAAGCTAAAAGGCTGTATAACCTTTGCATGTGACCTCTAAACTTCTGAATGCACATCTGTTTAATGTTTCAGTACATTTTGCACAACTTGTTTTCTAACAAGGGTTTGATCCATTGACCAATACACTTCCTGGTTCAGTTAGAACTTTTTTTTTGGCATTTTTATAATGTTAGTCACATTTTGACATCATGCAATTATGACGACGCCTTACAATTAATCAACAGAACCTCACCAAATATGCCTAATTTTTTTGTGTTGTGCATATAAACATAAGATGTAATTAATATATAACACACTGATTATTAACCAATACAAATAATAAAAAAGGCCAAGCTTTCCTTGAAAGAATGCACATGGCCTGCTGCCTTTCAGGTCAGAGTTTGAACAAAAGCATCTCCATTAAGAAACAAGATAGTTAAAACTATTTTGGTTTTACCTTGTAAATGACTGGCTGTGTCTCAAGTCATGGGCCTGATACTCATGAACACGTAGTCGAGCTGGGCCACATCCTTCCCAGTCCTGATAGGTTGCTTAAAACGGCTGTGAAATGAGACGGTCTAGCCTACGCTTGACGTAATTTACGTGATCACACGCTGCCCCGTTACCATAATGGGTTTCATATCCCTCAAAATGCGCTGGGACGTGTATTCATTAGGGGTGTAAGAAAATATCGATACACTGAAATATCGCGAAATTTCATTTCCCGATACTGTATTGATATTCTAAAGCCCTTTATCGATTTTTTTATTAAGGTTTAAAATGTCAACTTTCCTGCCAGCCGTTCATTTTTATGTTATAGTTCAGCCTCTGACCACTAGTTGGCAGCAGTGAGCCAGCCATTTGGCTCCTCTACCTCTTGAGGNAGTTAAAACTATTTTGGTTTTACCTTGTAAATGACTGTGGCTGTGTCTCAAGTCATGGGCCTGATACTCATGAACACGTAGTCGAGCTGGGCCACGTGGGCCACATCCTTCCCAGTCCTGATAGGTTGCTTAAAACGGCTGTGAAATGAGACGGTCTAACCTACGCTTTGACGTAAGTTTGCGTGATCACACGCTGCCCCGTTACCATAATGGGTTTCATATCCCTCAAAATGCGCTGGGACGTGTATTCACACGCATTCTCACTGGAAGAATAAGTTCTGGTTTAAAATTTTACATATAAATTTAAAAAAAAAAACTATCCGATTTACCTCCAGTATCCGTAGTTGTAGTTGCATCTTATTTAATATTTTATTGCAACATGAATTTTATCAGCTATGTTGCTAAACTTAAAACAAATTCTTTGGTCCATGATGAATTTCCAAATGCCGATTTGGTAAAAAAAATAAAATAAAACTCCACCATCTATTTATCTGTTTAGTTTGCTGTTGGCACATTGAATCCTGGAATATCCTCAGCCATGAACGATACTCAGATGCATCCTTGATTTTTGAGATTTTGTGGGCCGCATTCYTCAAATGTGCACTGAGGATGCAGCCCATGAACTGAGACAGTGAGTTTGCACAAATTTTTTTAAAGCTCAATATTTATTTATTTTTTATTTTATTTTTTACATTAGAYGTTTGTGCCTGCTCAGGTTGATTATCTGGGGACCATTTTCAATTGGTTTGTCTCAAAAAGTTGATCATTCGAAGATTTGCATCCAGTGATTTCTTTGTGTTTCACTTAAATGTCTAGAAGTTCATGAAATTTTCTGCTAACAGTACAGACAAACACTTACTTGTGTTTACTTGTTATCAAGCAATAAACAATCTGCGCAAAATGAACCTGTTTCTTCACTGTGAGGTTGTTGAACAGGCAAGATGATGATTGTCTGTAACCTTCACACCACTTTAAATCACTTTAACTATTGTTTTATTATTTACCCTTTTATGTCATTTTAAAAAAAATCCATCCCCGCAAAAATTCTAAGAACAAATGAATAATTTTCATMTTTTTTGCCTTTCACTTGTTGTTAAACTGCAGTCTTCCCCTCMTCGCCCCTTCCTTTATCTTTATTTCATCAGGCCATCATCTCAGAGGCAAAAACAATTAGTGCRCCCCTGATATCTCATTAACAATAAATGAGGTATTGGAGTGAGGCTGAAAAATGCCTGAGCTTATCCTTATAGCTGCACAGCAAACATCAGATTTCTCACAAACACTCCAGTCTTCATGAAGCAGTGGACAATCCATTTTGAAAAGACTTGTTCAAAAACAAATTTGCAGAAGTCATTTCTTGGCAGCGCTGAATCTTTAAAGGCAGTTCTTGTTTATTATCAACCTATTTTAACATGCAAGGGGCTGTCATTAAAAAAATTTTATCATTCTGTTTTTTTTAACTAGCAGACATTTATTGATAAGTGAGACGTGCTGAGAGGAAACATCTTCACTACAGAAGAGAGACTCAGCTGGAAACCAGAGCAACTTATGGGACAGTAAGAGAGGAGAGATGAGTCCTGTCACTTTGCTCTTTCATCTCTCATCCCTCTCTTCTTCCTCTCCTTAACTTCTTTACTTTAGTCTCCACCTGCCAGTTTCTGCTCACACAGGAAGCACTGTATCATCCCTCTCTGAAGTGAATCTGTCTCCCTTTGCTTCCATCATCTCTAAAGGGCCAACAGAGAGGTTGATAAAGCAGCTGTCACACTTTAGTTTAGATCTGAGGTTTTTCTTTTTTTCCTCTTCGGGGTTCCCCCGTAGAGTAAAAGCAGCATGATGCTGCGTGAGAACATTCCTGTGGTTTTTATAGTATTTTACAACCGAAAAGCAGGAAAAAGGAAAAGTTGTGGATCAGTTTTACTCCTGAATTCTGCCCAACAATAATCTCCAACTACACTGGTGGATTGGAGTTCAAGCAATAGTTCAGAACCTTTGAAGTGTGGCTCTTTAAAACGGCTATGAACAATGATTATCTTACCTGTTGTAGATCGCTCTCTGAGTGGCCTGTGTCTGAAGGTGATGCTTTAATTTTGACTGAACTAACAGCTGATCTAAGCGAGTACWAGGSCTGTGTATTGGCAAGAATTTGGTGATATGATACGTA